ATGACTAGATATTTGTACATAAAGATGCAGGAAATATAAGATTAATAACCAAAAATCATATTTTCTTCTCTAGATTGACATTGTCACTGAAGAAACAGCTGATGTCGGCTTACAATCTGGAGTCCATCAAGGCTGTTGCATGGGGTATCACTCATGAAGATGATGCTTTGAGAAAGTATGAAAAAGGACTTTGATGCAGCTGTAGAGCAGTCAGGTATACAGCACAAAATAACATTCATTCAACCTCTTACATGTTAACATTCAATGTGTCAAAACAAATAACAGGACTTATCCTGGTGACAAACAGAAATCAATTACTGAAGTCTAATTGTAAAAAAAAACTAGAAATATGTATGTCCATAGGACATGAATGCCTCGCCGAGGATATATTAGTAAAGCAACATGAAATTTGTATATGTATAAAATTTGATCAGTTTGGTTCAGGCAGGGCTTATAGTTAGTTGGGAATAAAAATGTAGGTCCAGCATCCAAAGCAAGTCTGGTAGTGTCCATCCCTAGATGAATCATCCATGCAAGTTTGGTTCAGGTAGGGTTTATTGTTACTTGGGAATGAAAAAATAGGTCAGATCCAGCATCAGAAGCAAGTCTGGTAGTGTCCATCCCTAGCTGCATCATCCATGCAAGTTTGGTTTAGGTAGGGCTTATAGTTACTTGGGAATGAAAATGTAAGTCAGATCCAGCATCCGAAGCAAGTCTGGTAGTGTCCATCCCTAGATGCATCATCCATGCAAGTTTGGTCAAGTAGGGCTAATAGTTCCTTAGGAATAAATCTGCTCCAAAAACTTCAACCTGGTCACTCATCTGGAAAATGTAGGTCAGATCCAGCATCCGAAGCAAGTCTGGTAGTGTCCATCCTTAGATGCATCATCCAAGCAAGTTTGGTCTAAGTAGGGCTTATAGTTCCTTAAGAATGGACCTGCTCCAAAAACTTGAATTTGGTCACTCATCTGGAAAATGTAGGTCAGATCCAGCATCCGAAGCAAGTCCGGTAGTGTTCATCTCTAGATGCATCATCTATGCAAGTTTGTATCAACATGTAAAGTTTGATAACACCATCTTGAATGGTATGTTTAAAACTGAGCTAAACACTATTTAAGAAAAGTCAGGTCAAGGTCAAAGGAAAGGTCAAGGTCAAAAAATGTTGATGCAGTTGCATAGCTCTCATCAATATCTATCAGCATATGAAGTTTGATGAAAATATCTTGGATAGTTTCTTTGAAACTTAGCTTTGAACAGAGCTAAACACAAAGTGGGACGGAAGGACGGAAGACGGACATGACAAACACCATATGCCCCGGCCATATTCATGGCGGGGCATAAATATTCAGTTACCAACATATTCCAGAAAATTTGCTTTTTGAAGTGGAAGGATTATAAAAGCTCTACTTAGACTTTGTTTGCATTACAAAATCAATTGTATTATGGTTTGTTTGCATTCAGTAGTATTATAAATTTTTAGCTCATCTCAACGAAGTTGGGGGAGCTTATGTGATACCCTCGGTGTCGGCGTCCCAGGTTAAGTTTTTTGGAGCAGTTTTCTTTTTGATTACTTCTATGCCCTATATTGATTAGACATGCATGGAAGATGCTTCTAATGTGTTTCATTGTAGCAGTCAAGGTTTCAGATACTACAATTTCAGCCAAGGAATGACCAAAATAATGTTTTTGGAGCAGGGTAACATTTATGGTGCAGTTTTTGGTGTAGGTCTCATTTCCAAGTTACTATAATCCATATGTTGACCAAACTTGCATGGTTGATACATCTAAGTATGCATACTACTGGGCTTGCTTCGGATGCTGAATCTGACCTACATTTTCCGGATGAGTGAACAGGTTAAAGTTTTTGGTGCAGGTTTCATTTCCAAGTAACTATAAGCCCTATGTTGACCAAACTTGCATGGATAATACATCTAAGGATGCATACTATCAGGCTTGCTTCTGATGCTGAATCTGACCTACATTTTCCATGAACAGGTTAAATTTTTTTGTGCAGGTTTCATTTCCAAGTAACTATAAGCCCTATGTTGACCAAACTTGCATGGATGATACATCTAAGGATGCATACACCGGGCTTGCTTCGGATGCTGAATCTGACCTACATTTTCCGGTTGAGTGAACAGGTTAAAGTTTTTGGTGCAGGTTTCATTTCCAAGTAACTAAAGCCCTATGTTGACCAAACTTGCATGGATGATACATCTAAGGATGCATACTATCAGGCTTGCTTCAGATGCTGAATCTGACCTACATTTTCCGGTTGAGTGAACAGGTTAAATTTTTTTGGGCAGGTTTTATTTCCAAGTAACTATAAGCCCTATGTTGACCAAACTTGCATGGATGATACGTCTAAGGATGCATACTATCGGGCTTGCTTCGGATGCTGAATCTGACCTACATTTTCCGGTTGAGTGATAAGGTTAAAGTTTTTGGTGCAGGTTTCATTTCCAAGTAACTATAAGCCCTATGTTGACCAAACTTGCATCAATGATACATCTAAGGATGCATACTATCAGGCTTGCTTCGAATGCTGAATCTGATCTACAATGTACATTTTCCGGTTGAGTGAACAGGTTAAAGTTTTTGATGCATAATTCATTTCCAAGTAACTATGACTTCTTAAATGACCAAACTTGCACGGATGATACATCAAAGGATGCATACTTTCAAGCTTGCTTCAGATGCTGAATCTGACCTACATTTTCCAGATGAGTAAACAGGTTAAACGTTTTTGATGCAGGCCTCATTTCTAAGTAGCTGTACACCCGATGATTATCAAACTTGCATGGATGATACATTTAAGGATGTATATTACCAAGCTTGCTTTGGATGCTGGATCTGACCTACTTTTTCTGGATGAGAGAAAAGGTTAGTTTTTTATGCAGATCTCATTTCCAAGTAACTAAGAGCCCTATATTGAGCAAACTTGCATGGACGATACATCTTAGGATGCACACTAATGGACTTACTTTGGATGCTGAATTCGACATACATTTTTTCAGTTAATAGACCAGGTAAAAGTTATGGGTGCAGGTCAATTACCAAAAAACTTGAAGGCTTATATAACATTGTATAAACCAAACCAAACTTGCACAAATGTTGCATCAGGAGATGAAAACTCTCAAATTTGCTTCAATGCAATTTTAATTACATTTTCATGAACAACTAGTTTAAATTTTTTATGTAGGTCTATTTCAATGTATTCGATCAAAATTGCTTAAATATTTTCATTTCTGGAATGTACAAAATTTGTTGGTTAATTGTGTGACTTTGCCTTTGCATTCGTTGAGGTGAGCTCTGTAATCTCTGATTTTTTCTGAAAAGGATATGGTTGCATGAATCTGGAGTGTTGGGAGCTTCACCTGATGGCTTAGTTGTTCGACCACCAACATGCAGTGTATTTTATCAAACTCCAGAAGCCAAAGACGCCATTCCTGATATTGTAGAGGTGAAGTGTCCATACACAGCATCGTCTTCAACAGTAGCAGATGGGGCACAAAATTTGAAGGATTTTTCATAGGTAAATAACATTAAAAATCTGTATTGTCCAGTACTTTGAAATTAAAAATCTTGGTGAGTAAATGATTTCAAAACATGTATTTATTTACAAGTGCAGCTGTTCAATATGGTATGAAGATATTGAAAAAGGAGGGGATATGTACTGGTATAACACAACTTAAGTGTTTTTTGATTTTTTTTTTAGATCTTAAACAAGATACCCTGTGCCTGAAAACCAGTCACCCATACTATCATCAAATTCAAGGCCAGCTACACATATGTAACAAAACATTCTGCGACTTAATTATGTGGACAAGAGTAGACTGCATTGTGATTAGAATAGTAAAAGACATTGAATGGACAGCAAATGTTCCAAAGCTGATAGATTTCTACATTAACATTTTCATTCCAGCACTGATGGAAAACTGAGTTCTAGTTTGAACTTCTTGACACTTAGTTTTGTACCTCTAGAATTTTCTAACAATGGAAAATGGGTAATCATGTTAAATGTGTTGAATGTTCCTAAGTCTCATAAATGTATGATATGATATGTCATAATCCATCATAAAACTTCTGGCTTATAAGACTATTTTAAATAGCAATGATGATTAATAAAATCTATGTACTACATAAAAAAAGAATATCAAAATTTAGAATCATTTTATTAATGAATTGAAGATGTTATTCTCAAAGTGAAAATGTAACATTTTTGTCTTTCTTAATAGATAAATTGTTGAAAACATGAATTTGTTGAGTTGTGCTTTAAAGGTAAATATACTTTAAACTAGAGATTATAAGTAAACCCTCTTCCAAATTATATTGTCAAATGAAGAATGGAATTGCCAAACATTCTTGTAATAAATCCATGCTAACAAAAGGGATTTTCATTTTCTGAAGTACATGTATTACAACATACTACAAAGTTAACAAATATAACCATTGACATTGATAACAAATCAAAATTTGCTTATCCCTTGCACTTTGGTATGAATATCTTCACTGTTTAGTGTATACTGTCACACTCCAATGCAAATTTATAATAAGTACATGTATCTTTAAGTAATTTCTTTCAAAAGTGGAGCTTGCAAGTTTACAAGACAAAGAACAGAGTTGAAATATTTTTGTTGAGATTGGTCTGTAAGTAGATGGTATGTGACGGAGAATCTCGTAATTCTTTATCCTCTCGTTGGCTCTTTCCACATGAATAAGTGCTTTAGCAATCTTGTAACACAGTGCTGCTTCTTGTATGGTAAACTGGCCTCGTGTCGATAAAAGAGCTTTTATAATTAAGCAGACACCCTGGGGCAACTGGTCATGAATGGTGAAACCTTTGACCACCAAAATAAGGTCTCCAGCTTTGAACTTTCGTAAAACTTGGCTGTGACGTACAATAGCTACATCAGAAGTAGAACCTGGGTACAGCATGGAGCAAAATGTAAGTGCACCATTTGGAAGCGTGCAAGTTACTGCTTTAAAAGTATGGCAACTTTTGTACATACATGTACTGTAGGCCATGGCCTGATTATCCATATGTGTTGGGATGTCCTGGGTTGTTTCAATTGCATCCATGGATGCTCTAGCAGAGGAAAAATCCTCAAAAGATTTTGGCAGAGACCCTGAAAAAAAGTTGGAAAAAAATTAATTTGATTATTTGTAATTGTGTAAAAAAATTGTGTTACAGTCAATCTTTCAAGAATACAATAAATTTAACTGCATTAAATTTTTGCAAGTCATTATGATAAATTTTAAAACAAACCTTTGCATTTAAGCTGACTTGGAAAACATTCTACGCTACATTCTACACTACGCCATCAGACAGCATCTTGTATAGGGAAAAGACCACCAATTATTTTCCCATAGAACTCCATACAAACCTTAGGCCCTCTCAGTACTTTACTATGACAATTTCAGAAAAATCTTTAGCATCATTTTCAAACTTTGTTCTAAGCCCTAACAAAAAATACTGAAAAAAATATATGGTCCCATGGCGTTTATACATGTAGGTCAAAATTGCAGTTATTTTCAACTTATAGAGATTCGCAGTAAATAACACGCGGCATAAAAAATCAACCCCCACTCCTAAAATCTTCCCTGGCATTTCTATAGTTTCTGTAATATTCCCTCATCCCATCATTTATTTCAAAGGTCATTAATTTTACTTTAAAATGAAAACAATTAAATACCTGATTTCAGCCAATGGCGTAACGCCTACCCATTCAGTATTCTGTTTAATGTTCCATAACAAACAAAGCCATGTGTACATTCGGGAATTTGGTGCTCTCATTCCTATACTTACATACTTACCTGTCCCAGAATTAGTCAATTGTGGTAATTTCAAAGACTATACACCTACCTGTGAACATGTATGAAATTTGAGTCCTGTGACTTCAGTGTATTGGATACTGTGACCATCTCAAATGATGACACCTTACTGCTACCAGCACAATTCAAAGGAGTGAATGACGTCTGGGCCGGTGATGATATTTGGATATATTGGTGACTGTAATAAATAAAATATTAAATTTTGTACAATGAATTGTTTTTGTGCTTTAATGTTAATAAAGTGATATTAAGTCAAAATTGAGTCAATAATTTCATAAGGGTGGATTCTACCCAGAATTAGGTAAAAAGCTCCAAAATTGGATAAATCATAGTTAATTAAGCAAAATTCAAAGGTTTTAAAAAGACTGATATAGAATTTTTTTTATGCTTATGCAAAGTAAATTATTTAAGACTCTGATATACTAATTGATTCTTATCTAATCCCTCCTATTGCTTAAGTATGTACAAAAAAGTTTCCCCAACCCCCAGTGAAAAACACTTAAAGAAATAGCAGGTGCCCCCTTTTATTTTTGTTTACAATTAATTTAGACAAGTTTAAATCAATCCTTTTGATAACCAATCAAAGTTCAATGTCTGTAGTCTTATACATTACAATCAGAAGCTACTTTTTGAATTTTATTCTAAGAAAAGGAGAATTTAAAATTTTTTTTTTAATAATTAAAGAAAAGCAAAAACTGACTTCAAACCCCAAAATGTACTATACAATAAGAGGCTGGAAAGTTAATAAATAAAAAATTTACCTGCAATGTACAGAAAACTGTCCGACAAAATACATCAGGTGGGTAGGGAGTCTCCATTTTCTTCTTATATAGAGAAAATGCCCCTGCTGATCAGATACCTAACACTCCCAAATAATAACAAAATATGTTAACATAACAGTCAATCTAAGATGTTCATCCCTCAATGGCAACAAGTTTTTATTACAGTAACTGAAATTGTTAGGAAATAGGAAATCACAATTGGAATTCCTTTAAATGTACCTTCTCTTCGTTGTATTTAATATCGTGGATTGATATTGGCTTCCTTTTACTAGACTCTATTTTTAGGGCAAGCAATTCCTTTTCCAGTTGTATTTCTGTTGAGAGGCGCTGCATTTCTTGAGTACAGTTAAATGTGCAGGATGCTGAGTAGTTGTGCTCTGATATCAACTGAAAATATATTGTAAATCATGTACAGTTAAAAGAACTTTATATATTATTAAAAATTATTGAAAATGTTTCAGTGTTGGTCATTTGTCATCATTGGTGATTTAAATGAGCTTTACTTTTTCTTGATATTGACATTTTGGTGCTTGTGGAATCTGCAACTGGTCCATCTTAAGATGACAGGGACTCCTCACTTTTGAGTTTTTTCCTCCTTTGTAAAATAATAAAACTTGAATTATTTTTTTATTCAGTTGTAAGCTACTCTGTTTATACATGTACCCTTTTAAAGATTTTTAGTAAAATATTCTCAATTAAACTCCACCCACCCACCATCCAAAAACAAGATGTCGGTCATATTTTGAAAAATAATTTCACCTTTTTGTAAATTCAGGATCAGAGAAATCCATGGCCTTTCCTTCATTCCATGCAAAATATGCAGGGTCCCCCTCCTTCTTACCATCCTTAAAGTGGCAGGAGCAGATGCGATCATTCTGATCTCCTGGTTGGCGATCAGCTCGTCTAAAAATATACATTATACAAAGACTGAGTGAAGGAGAATTAAAAAGCAAAACATGTTCATTTAGCATGTTATTATCAAATAGCCTAAATGACTTATTTTTTCATTATTTTTTTTTTAAATGTTACATTTACTTGCAAGTACAAGATAACCATGTGCATAACATTAACAAACGGTAGCAGTATTTGGTAGTAATAATACGAAATAAAATGTAATAAAAACAGCTGTTAAACAAAAATTAATCTTGCTACAAATTGCACAGTTTTTGTAGTATGTACTCTTCATTATTCTTCTGCTATATTGATTACTACGAGATTTAACTTTTTAACATGCATGTATAAATACTGTATCTGACAATGCAGCATCGTGACCCAGATAGCAGATTGTTATTGGACCTTTGTTGGGCCAACAATGCTCCTTATGTTGGGCCACCGTTTGTATTCAACATTGGGCCATCGGTAATTTGCTCATCGGCCCTTAATCAAACCGACGTGTTGGCTTATTGTTGGGCCAATGTAACAGTTAATACTGGGCCACTGTTGGGCCAATGTATTATTTCAATATTGGGCAAACGTCATTTTTGTACAATTGGGCCATTGTAAGCAGTTAATGTTGGGCCAACGGTAATTTGCTCATCGGCCCTTAATCAAACCAACTTGTTGGCTTATTGTTGGGCCAATGTAACAGTTAATATTGGGCCACTGTCGGGCCAATGTATTTTTTCAATGTTGGGCAAACGTCATTTTTGTACATTTGGGCCATTGTAAGCAATTAATGTTGGGCCAACGGTGATTTGCTCATCGGCCCTTAATCAGACCAACTTGTTGGCTTATTGCTGGACCAACGAACGGATATTATTGAGCCATTGTTGGGCCACTTATTCTTTCAATATTAGGCAAACATCATTTTTGGGCCAACGTTGGTTTGTATCTTATTAGCTCTCCATCATGACAAATCATTTGCTCTTCACTGGTTGGCCATTTGTCCTCAAAATTGACAAACAAATACATATATTAAGGTTATACTAGTTTTGTAGTACAGTTTAATTGTAAAAACCCTTTAATACTTTCTATATATGCTAGATTAATAGTTTAATACATATTCTCAATATATATCTCATAGCATTGATTAAAAAACTGAGGAAAAAGAAATCAAAATATAAAATTGAATTATAACATACTAGTATTTTATTGCTCAGTGCATGAAGAAAACATTAATAAAGAAATAAAATTAAGTTGATGCTCACTTCAAGTGGTAAATGTAGGGTTACATGACTGTATACTCCCTCTCTGATGTAAATTTATGCACAAGTTCAGTAAATTGCAGGTATCAATAAGAAGGTCCAACGAATAAACAAAGCCCCCCTGTTCTTAAAATAATACTAAAATGAATCCTGTCATTTTGTTTACTTACACAAAAAAATGTTTCTGGCATCTGCATCGTGTTTGTAACCGACAAACAGACACAGAAAAGGGTAGAACTACAGGTTTGTCACAGTATATAACAGAAAAAGCTAGGCACTGCCACTTTCCATCTGATCCCTCTCTTAAGTCTTCTCTTCTCTCTCCCGAGTCTCCTCCTCCCCCTTCTTTTCTTCTCTGTCCGTTTCTTCCTCCCCCATCCCTGTCCTTGGCATACCTTAGCTATTCTTTGATTGTGTTCTGAATGTCTTTTTAGAATCTCCAGTAGCACTAAAATTGTAGTATTTGGTACTTAATACATTTGTTACTTTTCTCAGTAAAGAGTAAACATACGATTAAATTTACAAGTATATCACTGTATGTTTAAGGTGTCAATTAAGGAATAACCGTCTTTTTTGTTTTATGGTGTGATTAAGTGATTAGCTTGCATGATGAAGGCATTTACGCATAACATTTCTACGTTTGATCATCATCATCACAACGATTTTGATTCAATGTTGCCCCATATAAAATACATGTATAGAAAAGTCGTTACACTGAACAAATTTTAATTGAAAGAATTAACCCAATTTATGTTTAGTACTGAATAAATTTAGTTTTAAGTTCAACAAGTTCAACATTTTCAAAATGTTTGATCATGTGCTCGACGTTAAGTGTATATAAGTAAATTAAGTGGTAGACTTCGGAAATGTATTTTACTAGTCACACATTTCAATCTAAATTAGGGCTAATTGTAACGGGAACCGTTACAGATGTTCCCCAAACGCTCCCCAACTCCCTTTTGGTGCCATACTCCCTTTAAGCTTCATTAAAAACGACAAACTCTATGCATTTTACACTTTAACAACGTTTCCCTGAAGTATACCGAGTATATTCAAATTCTAGCATTTGCACGCGTGCACATGTAAATGCATGTGCGTAATGACCATATTCTCTTGTCTACACTATCTATATACATTAATATAATAAAATAATAAAGCATTTAATCCAAAAGTATTAAAAAATACGCTTCATCAAGTGTATTTTTGATTTTACCCATCTCACGTGCATGCACGTGCATGCATGTGCATGATGACCTTACCTTTTTGTAGGAATCCACTATGTCTATCTATGTTCTAAATCCCATCCTGTTCGGTTGAAAATCAAAGGAGTTATACCCATTTAAAGTTTAAGCCAATCAGATTGCAGCGCACGTGCATGCGCGTGTTTTCATGATACCTGCTATATATTATATTGTAGTATATCCTAATGCATGACTATGTTTAAAATTTCAAAGCATTTCGTCAAAAAACAAAAGAGATATTGAAATCTTTGTTTCAGCCAATCAGAGGGAAGCGCACGTGCATGCACGTGAGTTCGTGCTAATTTGACCATGTCATATTATCTAGACTATTAATATATCCTTATAGAATGAGTTTCAAAGCATTTCAATAAAAAATGTAAAAGTTATGGCTATAATAAGTATATCGGTCATTTCACTCA